ACTCCTTTACTTGATATACCTGGATTCGATCCCATAAAACACGTACCTCTAGAGGTTATGCATTTATTTTACCTCAATGTTATGAAAAATCTTGGCGAGAAATGGATCAGCAGGAGTAAGAATGAATATAAATTACCAAGTGCGAAGCTTCAAATATTCAAAGCGTCGATGGAATTGATTACATCATCCGTTCCAAAGGATTTCCAACGAAAGGAATTTGACGTGGATGACTTTTCTCACTGGAAAGCAACTCAATATTCATTTTTGCTTTTGTATGTTGGGGGAATTATTCTCAAAAATGTTCTTGACATAGACAGATATCAGCATTTTCTGCTATTGCACGTTGCTGCACGAATTCTCTGCAATGATGAATGGGTTGTCAAATATACTCCGATTGCAGGTCAGTTCTTGAGAACGTTCGTCAAATTAATGAGAACATTTTATGGTTTGGATGTCGACACCATGGTTTTTCATCACCTTGGACACGTGGAGAGTGATGCCGAATATTATCAGATGAGTTTAAGTCATTTGTCCGCATTTTGGGGGGAGAATTTTATAGGACAAATGAAAGATCTGGTGAGCTCGAAGGTCAGACCTCTGTCTCAAATTGTTAATAGGATTCGTGCTCTAGATTCGTCTCAAAAAGTGAAACTAACTGAACGTCTGCTGATTCGAGATATTGCGATAGGTAAAACTGTGGAGACAATTAATTTGAATGGAAAAAGGTTTTCATCAGTAGAATCATTCATATATAAAGATAAAATCTTGTATTCTAAATTTCCTGATAATGTCGTACAATTGACCAATAATGAAATTGTTATGATTCAAAAATTATATGTGAAAGAAAAATGCATGAAGGTTGTTAAAAATGCTGATGATATTTATCTCCAAGTTTTGAAATTTGAGAGATCGACAGATGTTTTCACTGCACCGTGTCCTTCAAAGGAAGTTGGAATTTCAAACATCACACAATTGTCTAATTCATATGAATTTGTTTCCCTGCAGAATGTCAAGCAAAAATGTATCGTGATTAATATTGAGGATGAAAACTTTGCAATTTCACTGCTTCACGAATAAGCACCAGGAGCGAATAAACAAGAGTATAATTCGTAATGTTCAATTATGAAGTTGTATTATCAAACAGATCATAAAACATGTCCAATTTTCGGGAGAATTTTTAGAGGTCAGGGAAGAATATGATTGGTTTTGCCAAAATATTACTCAGTTTGATCTAAAAAATTATAGTCAGTGATAGTCAGGAAATTTCGTAATTAATTCCCAATCATTTTCTCCTGGAACTGTTTGAAAACTCGACTGTTCATAGTACTTTAAGAGAAATGATTGCATAAATTTTTCCAACTGTTAGAATTTATCTATATGTTTCTCGATGAGATGTACGAATTGCTAAATCTTTTCATTCTTTATGTATAGTAAACTGTCATGCTGCTGAAATGGGACTGGAATATTTTTGTACAAATATAGGAAAATGGAAAATTATTGAAACTTTTTAATGCATCAATCATTGATAGACAGAAAATGGAATTTCATGAATAAATAAATATGTTGTTGAAATTGAAAAAAATTATATTTAAGTAAAATACTTCAGTGCTGAATTTACTCGACGTAGTGAACTAAGTTAAAATTTCTGGTATTTGCTTCTACTTTCTTTCTTCATCATTTAATTTATTCTCGCATAAAATCGCAGGTGTATGAAGCACATTGCCAATTAAGAATAATCATCTCAGAATTAACCTTGACTTTTAGGTTTGAGGTTTGATGAGTATAATCAGGTGTGAATTATTACATTAGAAAAGTTATCAATCTATCATTGGCGTCTAAAATCGATGAAATACCTAACAACCCAACAACACATCCAAGACGATTCTCAAAATTGCGATTTTCGGACCTCTGATTTTTTTGAAAAATCGATTCACCCTCTTTTCATCTGATTGAAATGAGAAATTTCAATTTGAAATTAAAGTAGGAAATTGAAAATTAAAATTGAAATTCGAAAATGAAATTTTAAATTTAATCAATAACTTCTCGACCAGTTGCTCATAATTAAGATATCTTACCATACTATTGTAATCATAATTAAGATTTGGAAAGGAGGGAAAAAGATAGAAACTTATACTCTCTAATATTCTGCCCATTGGTATTGGGAATTGCATTATCTGATCCTACCCTGCTATGATTCTCTCTCGACTTCGATTTTTCAAATAGAAATTGATTTTTTGCGCAGTTAAAAATGTTAAAAACTCATGGGGTAGTTTACCTAATTTTTTACATGTGAAAAATAAGAGATAATTTATATAGCCCATCCCTGCTGAGGGTGGAGTGAGGCAAAGAAGAATGGAGGAAGCCAGTGGTGGGGTTTCGATGCTGGTGGAGGTAAGGGAGAGGGGGTAGTTCGTATCGTCAGTAGCGTGAGGAGAAAAGTGCGGTGCGGAAGTCCGTTGTTAGTCGACATAACCTGTGCATTTTACGAATTGCGTCATCCTCGTGTAGCCACCATTACCTTATACGAAATACTCGTCAATTTCTTAATAAGAAGTGTGTGATTATTCCTCCTTTGAAAGACCTCTGGTGCGCTTAATCAAGAGAAAATTACGACTGCGTCATCAGAACCCAAGTGAGTATACAATTGTAAGCGAGAAAGTGCTGCATTATTTCATATTTTCAACTTGCACCATGAATGTTTGCAAATATCATGCTATGTAATGGCAGAGTCACATCCAAGCAAGGATCAAACAAACAGATAACGCGCCTAACCTAAAAAATGACCGAGTCAAAGTGCCTATTTTTTTTAAGGATGAGTGCTGACGACGGCGAAGAGCAGAACGTGCACTCGCCCGAGGCGGAGGATCAAGACGAAGAGCCTGTTCCATCTGAGGTGGGAAAGAAAAAAAAAAGAAGAATAAAAAGGAGAAAAAGAACAAGGAAGATGAGCCAAAAGAGCCAGAAAAACCATTTTGTGTCGTTGAGTTCTATGGAGAGACTGATAAGCAAGGACAAAAGTTGATTGAGATCGCAAGAAGCTCGTGGACAGAAGAGGTTGACCCTGTTACAATGATTGGTTTTTGTCGATTCCCAGGGGAAGCAGACTATGGGAGACTTGAAAAATTGGCGAAAACCCAAGTAAACCCAAAACCTTCGTGGGGCAGATTCCGAGTGGAAATTTTGAGCACTGCAGGTGAATTATTGAAATATTGCGTTCTTAAATAACCCGATATTTTCCTATTCAGCTTCAAATTTCATATTTTTGGCTACCCCATAAAAAACATTTCTCAAAGTTTTTTCAGATTTTTTGCTTGTAGATCCTTCAAAAACTTACCAATCGGAACAATTTTTCTCATCGTTGCATAAATTTTTCACAACTGAATCCAAAAAGAATCGGGACAATCGGAAGTTCCATAACTTTTATTGTTTGGTTTTTTTTTTCAAGACAAGCAATCAATTTTTCAGATCTTAGGATTTTTATATATTTATTTTTTTAATTCGAGTCGTTCTGCAATTAACATAACCAGCCCTAGAATGGGCCCAGTTCCTTTTTTATTATTTAAAAAAAAATAATAATTTCGATTTTTCGATTTTGTTAGAAAAAAATACATTTTTATAATGAAATTCATGTAAGAGACGGGTGCTACTAGAATAAATGAACAATGGGGGGCAATTGATTTTTCTTGTTTTTTTTTAATTTTGAAAATTTTGAAATGCTGAATTTTGAAAAGAAAACAAAATTGAAAAGAACTCGGCAGGACTAGTGCCCTATTCACACGTTTAATTGAAGGTTCCAAAGAAAAGAAAATAAAATGTTAGGATTTGAGTAATTTAGTTTTCCTCATAACTATGAAAAAAATCATAAAGCTCCCATCCGGAATTTTAAAAATATCCCTCAATTCCATTCAAAAAGTGATAACAGTTGAGAAAATTCCCAACTAATTTCGAACTATTGTCCCTGAAACAACTGGAAAATTCAACTGTGTCTATTATTCGGTGAAATAATTGATTTTCTCTAGAAAATACACCTCTCATCAACTTCCAATTTTCTCTGTACAGCAAACTATGATGCTGCTGACAGGAGAATGAACCGTTTGTACGAAAAACGGGCAAACGTGAATTCTACCCAGTTCGAGACAGATGCAAGTGATAACGAAGTGGTCTACGTATCAAAAAAGCGTGCCTCTTCGATCCTACAATCATCCTGTTCTCTGCAATCACTGAATAAACGGTCAGAGAAAGATGACGAGCCACCTCCTCATTCGTCACGACGTCGATCACTGTCCGCACCGAATCACCAGGAGAGAGTACCGAGGTCTTCTTCTATTACCTCGCAGAACACGAGCACTCCTCACTCTTCTCTCAGGAATACAGCAAAGGGTATGACTAGTACGAAACTAAATTGACGATTTATTTTCAATCATGTATTTTGCACTCATCAATAGGTATCACTGCCATTGAGTTGAAAACAGGGAAAAAAAATGAACTAACAGAATACCAGAGAATTCTTCGCGAAGAGGGAAAAGGAGACGAGATGAAACGTATGAATTTTGGTGAAAGAAAAATAATTTAGGAAATGTTTCCAATTAGACTTTTATCTATTTGTTTGCTTCAGGGTTCTTCATGGAGTATGTGGATACATCTACAGAGTTGATGACATTGAAAATCCAAGACGAGATTCGCAATTCCAGGAGAGCGCAACAATACGATATAAATAAAAAAATGGACGACTTAAAGCTTGTATTTCCAGTGGGAGCAGCCATGAGCAATGACGTGGGCCCCTCACCAAGAGCTATCTTGGGAGTCGAGTTTCCCATATGCAAATTAGAAGATTTTGAGAAATTTGAAAAGAGTATTGATCCTAAAAATGAAGAAAATGCAGCCAATCCTGATGCCGCCTTGCAAAAACAAGAAGCTTTGGTAATTTTAAATTTTATCGAGCTCTCGAGAAAATACTTTAATTGAGAGGAAAATTATTGAGAAAAAAATATCTTTCGTCAACATAACAATTTTCAGAGAATCACGTATTTTGAATTTACCTCTAAACATCCCCGTTAAGGAGATATTTTTTCTATTCAATTCATCAAAGTCTTTTGTTATACTGAAAACTTCAGTTTTTATTCTTTCGGCAGAATTCAAAGTATGTAAATCCAGCTAGTCAATCTTGTTGAAACAATGGACCATTTACCAAAAAATCTCACCGAAAAGAATTACGTCCCATAACTGTCACATGACAGGCATTTTTTGTGATCTGACAATTTTCAAAACGTGAATATTTTTTACATCCCTCATAGGAATCCATTTTTTCGTGATTCTCTTGACAGACGCCTTATTTTACTAGGTTAATGGTAGACAAATAAAAGAATATTTTCTTTTTTAATTCCAACTTTTTTAGATGAAAAATCAGATTCTATATTTTTTTCAAATTTCTATTTCCGACGCTTTGGATTCAACCGAGAGACGTAAAAAGTGCATTCTTTCAGAATTAAAAAAACAGACCTTGATACAGGGATGAGTTTGACACTTCCATTTTGATGGATTGAATTGAAAGAACGAGAAAAATAATGGGTGCAACCACATCACTGAACTACATCAGTAAATGATGTTGTTTTTTTTCGAATAAATGACCTTAGTGTTCCTTTTCATTCTTTGTTTTAGAAACGGATTATGAAGTCCATTGTACAAGGTACCATGCATTTTGACAGAGACGTCAAGCACATTTTGGGTGAATTAACCACAGCTGATGTTCAAGAACATTACAGTGGGATTGGTCGGAAAAGGAATGGGATTGGGAAGAGAAATTTCAGCCTTACTCTCGTTTTCGCATGTATGAAAGGTGTGTGATTATATGAAATTTTACTTTATATACGTAAATCTATGAGTATTTGAGGGAATAAAATTATTATAAATATTGAATTACAGATGTGCTTGAGAAAAAATATGCAGAGAAGTCAAAACAATTGAATTTTGTGACTGTGACTAGCGAATATTTGGCAGGTTTCGGCAGTCGTGATGGAAGACGAGCAAAACGTAAGAGAGAGGCTGATGAATGAACAACAATTGTACGATTTTTTGCAATGTTGATTTTTTTAAAGATACTTTGAACATTATCCTCAGCGAGGTTGTATCATATCGTACTATATTCTCAATTTATAATAAATAATAATGGACTTCAAATAACGTACTAATTCATTCATATGATCCATCTCCTCCTTTTGGATTTATTTCAAAGCTTGGATGGAGCTTCGAGAGAAGCTTGGATGAACCTGAATCACCAAGCTTGGATGAACCTGAATCACCAAGCTTGGATGAACCTGAATCAACAAGCTTGGATGAACCTGAATCAACAAGCTTGGAATAATCTATTATCAAAGCATGGACAAATCTTGGACAGAAGCTTGGATGAATCTATATTTCAAAGCTTGGAGGGAGCTTGCTCGCAAAGCTTGATCCGCGTTACATTCCTGGTTACCGCAAAGGTTGGCCCAAGCTTGGAGGCAAAGCTTGCACCAAGCTGTGCTAGGGTTGGACCAAGCTTGGATCAAGCTAGGACCCATGGTCAATGCCTACCTGGGAGAGATTTTGACCGAGTCGAATTTTTAAGGAATTTTACTTTTTGATCGGTGCAAAGATGCACAGAACAAAAATTCTTTAAGTGTTTGACATGGTGGAAAGTAGGAATTCCAATTTTTTCAGATTTTTTTTCAACAACGTTTCAGCGTAAAACATAAACATCGAGATAGAACGGCGCTCATGCGACCGATTGAGAGTTAAGGACGTCCAAGTACTTTGGCTATTTTTCTCTAGTGAAATGCTTTTCCACTTTTGAAGTGGAACATCAGAGCTTTCATCTGAGCTCCATTTGACCCCAAGTTTCCGGGCATTTTACAATGATTTTAGTACTTATACTTTGCAGGTCTGAATTTGAATCTCGCTATTGAACGGTTAGAAACTTTAGTGAATCTAAAATGTGATAAAAATTCCCTGAAAGTGTATCGGAAATTTACAGCCAAAAAAATTTCAAGTATGTCGAGGGGTTAAAGCAATAAAATCAGTTTATTTAAATAACTTTTATCCAGAAACTCGAATTGATTTTTAATTTAGTTGTCTATTCCCATCAAATCATGTGCTTTTTCAATAAAAACTAATGTATCTTGCTCCAAATGAAGGCGTGATGTGTTCATGCTTTATTAACATGAAATGCGAGTTTATTAACATGTAATAATTTGATTCGATTAGCGAGTTTATTTAGAATTGATGAATTATCCATTTAATATTAATGAAACATTTTACATAAAAACAATTATACGAGTTATTTTGATAAAGAGTTACATTAAAGAAGGGAATTTATATATATATATATATATATATATATATATATATATATATATATA